GTAGACTATTATTGGTTATAATTTTATAAGTAAAAAAAAAAAATTATTTAATTTTTTTTCTGATTTTTATTAAATTTTATTGTCAATTTCTTAAGTTCAAGATTAATTAGGGAATTTTTTAATTTAGAAGTGCATATGTGATATTAATTGAGATATTTATTTAGTTTATTGTTTGTTGTGATTTTATAAGTTTATAAAAAAATATTTTGTATTTTTCTCATTTCTAGTTTATTTTTAATGAATTTCTCAATTTATAGGCCAATTGGGCAATTTGTTAAATTTGGATGTCAAAGTATAGAGTTTATTGAAATATTTATTTAGTTTATTGTTCATTATGATTTTATAATCTTGCAAAATTTTATTGGGTATTTATCTTCCTTTTATAAGATTTTTAATTAATTTTTAATTGCATATGTCATTTGCTTATTATCATCCCAATTTAATCTTAATTTGTTATTTTTTTCATTTTGAAGACAAGTCACTTTCCTTAATTATATTTTAATTTTTATGTTTTACATATATTTACTTAATTTTATTATTTATTTTACTTTAGTAATTATTTTAGTATGATTACAGTAAATTAATTTTATTTTATGGATTATTTGGATGAAGTAAGAGTTCGAATAAGTAAATAATTGCATGATAGAAACTAAACTATCTAGTGGACATAACACCCCCAATCAAGATTCCATGGTTACATTGTCTCTTCTAGTCGGCTTCATTGGTGCCCTTAATCTATTTCATCGAGTGGCGACTAAATGATCCTTGTTAGCAACTATGAGTTAGCTCATTCAAGGAAACCTTATAGTTTCCTCGACCAGCTCCCGGCCACCGACCGATGCCGGGCTTCGACCTGTTGCCGGATTTCTACCCAATGCTGGACTTCTGCCACTCTTCGAACTTTCATCGAACTTCTACCCAACGTCAAAGTTCTGCTCGTCGCCAGACATCCGCCAAACTTCTGCCCGTCACTGGACTTTCGTCGGACTTTTACCCGATGTCCGACTTCCGCCTGTCGTCAGATTTATAATTGACACTAGACTTCCACCCGACTACAGTCCTTCCAACCTCAGTCGCTAGACAACAGTCTTTATTACCTCGATCATCCGCCGACTACGATCCTTCCGACACCCATCACCAGACAATGGTCCTTTCGACCTCCGTCGCCAAACAATATTCTTTCATAGCCCCGTCGCCCACTGACAATTGTCCTTTCAACCAAACGAACATGTCAATAATAATACTTCTAATTTCCATTATGTAACACATGCACTTTATATGATTTGTATTTGTTACATCAAGTCAAGGCCTTCCCTCAAATTAATGGGCCTTATTTGTAATCAACTACAAATACTAGTGAATTCATTCAAACTGGGATAGTCCTCGTTGTTTTTGTCCCTTTTTAGAGTTTTTTACATAAAAATCTTGGTGTCTTTTATGAATGATACACTCTCTCTCTTATCTAATTGCCTGTTGGATCTTCGTACAAAATTAAGGCATTAAACTTTATATTTCTTCACAGCCGCGGATATTTCAGGACACAACAAGGCTAGTATATATGTGCTAGAACATATGGGTTGTCAACCTTTTTATTACTTTGTAGGTTTAATTTAATTTTAATTTATTTAATTTTATACGATGATAGTTTTAGTTCAAAGATTAAATTTTTGACATCTTTTATTCTGTTTAAATAATTTATAAAGAAACTTTTATTTTTAGACTTAATGTTTTTTTTTTTATTATTAAAATTTTATAAGCTCGTTAAATTTTATTTCATATTTTTCTGATTTATATTAAATTTTTTTAGTGAAATTGCTAATTTGTAGATCAGTTATGGAATTTATTTAATTTGAAAGTGAACATGTGACGTTAATTGAGATATTTATTTAGTTTCTTTTTTGTTGTTATTTTATAAGTTTATAAAAATTTATTTTGTATTTTTCTAAACTTTTAATGAATCTCAATTTCTAAGCCAATTAGGCAATTTTTTAAATTTGGAGGTGAATGTCCTAAAGTTTATTAAATTATTTATTTATTTATTATTAAACTGATGCAATATAATTATTTGTGCCCTATTTTGTTCAGGCTACAGGTCATATTGTCTTGCCATTTATGATTTAAGATAGTCATTATTAGTTTGGGCTACTCCCAAACTCACTTGGTGGACCATCACCAAAAGAGCAAACTTACTAACCGTAGAATATCATTTAATATATTTTTTAGATTTTTTTAGTCGTCTACTTGTATTTCCATAGTCACATTTTTTTTTTTAGACAGGTCCGTTGGTGATCTACCAAAAATATCGATGGCCAAATTCAACATATATATATCGATGTTTTCAGCATAATAGAAATTTGTAGCTGAGATAAAAAAGAAACAGCCTTTCGTATCAATTATTCTACATTAAAACAATATATAAGTAATAAGAAATACACACAACATAAGCTAATATTTCAACATTGTAGAAAAATATTCTTAAAAAGTACAAAAGTTCTACAATATTCAAGCACTCATGCAATAAATTAATCATAGAATTTCTTATACATTCAAATAGCAACTTGATAGCTTACCATGCCCTCCTGAGTGCTTGCTGAGAAGCTTAAGCAAGCAGAGCACTGTCTCTCAATTTTGTCAGCCTGAGAGCCTAATCCATAAAGTCTCTTCTTCTGCATTCTGCCTAACACTGTGATCATATGTGATTATTGGAATAATGAGTTGTGATTCCTACGAGGATGCTTAGCGCTCCAGCGTGAACATTTAAATACAGCGCTTGTCTACTCAACAAAAAAATAATATAAGATTAGTTATTGTATAATTGTCACTTGCAATATTTATATTAATATTCTAAACTTATAGACTAGCATATTGTGAAGGATTTTGTGTGGACCGAGGTACAATTTTAGATCAACTAAAAAAATAAAATTAATTAATATTTAAATTTTATATTCTTTATTTTCAAAATGAAAGTTGGAATTGAACTATAGACACATAAATAAAATAACTTACATATAATTAAGATATGTTAATAGCAGTTCATATATAAGAGATCGATGCAACAAGTTTTAGGTCATAAATATAACTTTGTTATAAATTATAAATAATGAGAGAAGGCTTGAATATATTTTTTTAACGATAGCCAAAGCAGTAAAAGAAAATATTATAAAATTTTGTTGGCAATGGGTAGTTCAAGAAATGATATTAATAAGAAAAGCAAAGAATTTGAGGACTGATTAAGCATACCTCAATATATTCGTATCCATATCTTTGGCACCACTTTTCTAATTGAGGGCAATGAGCAATCTCCAAAACACTAGGCATAGTTGAAAGCTTTTCTTCCAAAGGGAGTTTAAGGTTCCAGCATCCATATAGCTTTAATTTCTTAAGTGAAGGAAGCTTTTGCAGGCCTGGTATTGATGTCAACTTAAAGCATTTTTCGAAACATACAAATTGCAACTTAGAAGGAAGTATCTCCTCCGCAGGAATCAAGAGTCTATAACACCGCTTTATTTCTAACTTTTCAAGTCTATGCATACTACATATCCCATGCAATGATGTCATACGTCGGCAGCCTTCAACAAGTAGTCTTCTAAGTGAGGATGATTGAACTATTTTTATATTTTTTAACATATAACAATCAATGATGGAAATACTTTGAAGACATGGGAGATCTCTATCCAGAACTCTACCTGATCCATCCCATTTATTGCATCTTTCAAGGGTTATATCTTGTAACTTAGAGTACGAAGGATCACCAAGCCACGACGGAAATACTATACCAGGGTAGTCATATATATGTAATCCTTTGAGGTTGTTGTGAGGCCGCAATGCCTCAAGTTTAACCTCTTCCAGCTCAAAACTTTTTTTCCCTACTCTATGCTTTTCATCAAAACTTATGAAAACACCAAATACAGAATTATCAGCAAAATCCGTTATACTATTCCAATCTATGTGTAAACTATTAATATGCTTCTTCCCATTAATATTTGCCTTCTTGAAATCCTCAACATTATTTGCATAACCTATATTTCTGATACAACAAATCCCTGTAAGGCTTGCTAAGTCTTCTATCTCACCTAGTCCACCACTTTCATGATTTCCATCCTTTACAACTACTACTTTTAATGTCTGGAGACAAGTTAACTTGCTTATCCCCCTTGGCATGAAAGAGCCATCTGGTAGTATCAAATGTCGAAGGTTGATAAGATTTTGTATGCTTGTTGGTAAGATTATAGGATCATGATAACAACAGAAGTCCAACACTTGCACATTACGAATACTATGTAATGAATTGAATAAGGTTGAAAGAGAACCTTTGGCCCAACGAAGATCCCTTAAAATTGTATTATGAAAGCAAAGATAGCGTAAATGCTTCATTGAGGCAATTGAACCAAGAAACTTTGAGGTGTTTGAATCAAATTGATCGATTTCAATATGCAGTGCTCGCAAGCGTGTTGAATCTAAAAGCTGAAAAACATTGATTATCCTCTCGCCATACCAAAATATAGAACGAAGAGCAACATGCCTGGTAAGAAATGGGAGCACTAAAGTGCCCCTTAGTGCTTCATTATTTGTTGGTTCATCATGTACAGCTAAGTGGCGAGCATTATTTGATATGCAATTATTTTGGTTGTCACCCTCTGATTTCATAATGATGAACTCATTGTTAGAAATAGAAACTGCCAAATCATAAACCAAGTCATGCATCTCAAAATTGTTTCCATATTTTGTTGCTTGAAATAATGATCTCCCCAAGAGTTCATCTAAATACTCTCTACCAATCTCCTCCATAGTCTTGCCTCTTATTTTTGGTTGGATATAGCCCTGCGCAATCCACAACCATACAAGGCGATTTTTATCAGGAATATGCTTTTTAGGAAATAAAGAACAATACCTAAAGCATGGCTTCAGGTGAATTGGCAGCATTTGATAACTCAGTTTAAGAGCAGGAAAAATTTCATTTGTCCCTGGATCCAAGTCCCAAAGCTCGCTTTCTAAGATGCTCATCCACTTATCTCGAATCCAACGTCCTCCTCACATGATTTGTTAGTTGTGGATCTGTATATCTCTTTGGTTAATTTCACAAGATCAAAATCCTCAGAAACATAGATCCATATACGGAGATCAAAATACTGACAAATTCTAGGATCGTTATAAATGAGTTGGGCAAGCGTTGTCTTCCCCACACCCCCCATGCCAACTACTGGGATAACTGTAATTTTATTGCTCACTTGTAAATCTGAGAGCAATAACTTCACTATCTTCTCTTTCTCTCTCTTTCTCCCGATTATATTTGATTCATCGACAAGAGAGCTGGTAAGTCGATAATTTTGAACACTAACAGTTCGCCTCACGCCATCATCTTCTCTTAAATAGAGTCCCTTTCGATCCCTTTCAATCTCATCGAATATTTTCTGAATCTCCCTTAGCTTCTCAACCATGCAATCAGAAATTGCTGGAACTTGAGAAGATGAGGATGCTAATGTATTACTACCTTGCACATGTTCATCTTGATCATATTGTTCATCATCTCCTTGCTTGCGCTTTCCACGGTGGTAGGACTCTTCTGCAGCTCTGGCTTCCATCTGGGCTGCCTGGACATCATACTCATACTCATCGATTACATCATCAATGTCATAAGCCAAGCACCTGAGCTCTGAAAGCCATAACTTCACAGATCTGTCTTGTATCTCCCTTTCCTCCGCATCTTCAAGCACTGCTTTGATCCTCGGCAGCATTCTCATTATCCTTTGGAACTCATCTAAAGCATTGCCTCCTCGTGTAGGTTCCGCTGATGAAGATGAAGATGAAGATCCATCTAAAAGAGCCAATAACCCTGACTTCGCCCATCTGCCAAACATAGCAATAATATCTGCCATGGCTTCGTCCAATGATTAGAATCAAATATCCCTGCCATGCATCATTAAATTGTATAGTAAGATATAATATTCCATTGTGTTAGAAGGAGAGTTGCGAGAGATTCAAGTTTAAAATACTTGTTGCAGCTGAAAGCAATCAATTGAATGCAAAGAGATGAGCTAAAGCTGATTCTGCAGATTCTCGTTGCTTTCTATGCATACAAAAAACAATATAAAATCACAAATGAGTATTGAGTCCAAAAACAATCAAATCACAATTCATACTTACAGTAGCACATAAGAACTATATGCGAACAAAAGTACAACTTAAGGCCAAGCCGAAAGAACTAATTACTTCTATGGAGAAGGAGCAATAAATAAATAATCAAGCAGGGAAAGCAGCTCATCAAAGGTCCAAATTTCTCAAGTATTTGATCTGATGAGGTCTGTGCAGACTGTCTATAAGACCAAAATTAGATGATGATAAAATTGCAGAGGTGAAGGAGCTAATTACCTCTGTCTCTGTGAAGAACGACTCACTCAATAATTGAAGAGGAAAGGCAGCTCTTTCTTTACAAGCTCAAATTATCTTAGGCATTTGATCTCACACGCATCATATTATTTTGCTTTCATAAAGTAAAAGCAGGAAAAAAGACAACGAAAGAAAATTTGAGAATATTCTCTCCTTACTTTTTCTTTTTTTATCACTTAGTTAATTAGAGATTGAGAGTTTATTTTTAATTTAATATTTTTTATATATGACGGAGATAATTTTCTACCCCCACTAAAACTTGTTCCTGCACACAACTCTCCTTGGCCTATTGGTTGAGAGCTAAGGCTTCCAATTAAGAGGTCTAAGGTTCGAGTCTCTGTGTATGCGTTGTGTGTGTGAGTTTGCCTTAAATGGCCTAAAAAAAAAAAAAACTTGTTCCTGCTTTTCTGCTTTTAGAGAAACTTTTCCCACCACTAAAACTTGTCCCTGCTTTTAGTCACACATGGGAAGATAAAACCTATTCAAGAGTGGACATGAGTCACCTCTCCACTAAGATATTAAATGAAAAAAACTTGTGAAGCTCAATTATTATAGCTTCTTTAAGCTCGATTTGAACTTTTTTTTTCTATTTGTGTTAAAATTTGATTTATTTAAAATAGTAGATCATCATATTTGATTTATATTCAGCTTATTTTCTCTTATTGAGCTTTAAATAAATGACCTTTATCAAATAAGCCCATTCACGAACAAACAAGCTCAAAAGAATTCTCCTAAAACACTAATATCACTCTATTTTTAGGTTGTCCTATGCTAGTATGCAAATATCTGTATCACATCTATTTTGGTTCTGCGAAAAATTAGAAAGTTTTAATGCGTATAGATCATGAGGTTTAAAATGCCAGTCAATAGTCTAGTGTTAATTGTTCAATTCTCTAACTAAAGGTTTTAGTTTTGGTTCTGATCAAAGTTATAATTAGGTGACTTCTATTTTAAATTTTAGGATTTGAGTTTAAAGTTAATGATTTAATATTTATAATATAATGAGAAATAAATCAAAACACAACATACACAAAGATAAAATATAAGTAAGATGCATATAAATAAAGTATAAATATCATAATCTAAAATGTTTAATAAAGTATAAATCCTTTTATAAGATTTTGATTAATTTTTAATTGCAAAATTAATTTTATTTTAGGGATTATTTGAATATGATATGAATTGATTTGATTTAAATATAAAATGTGTGATTGATATAGGTTGAATGAAGTAAGAGTTTGAATAAGTAAATTGTTACATTATTTTTAAGAAAGAAGAAGCAAAGATCATCTTCCAAAGCTCTAATCGAGAAATCAGAATCGAAGAAACAAATTTAAGTATACTCAGAGAAACGACTATACTGTCACAAAACTAGATGAGCATAAAATCTCTATAGTGAATTGAAGGAACTTACCTCTCTCAATCTGTGAAGAACCACTCAATCAATAATTGAAGAGGCCGAAAGGCAGCTCTTTCTTACAAGCTCATATTTTCTTAGACATTTGATCTCTCACATGCATGATCTCTCAAAAGCATGATATGAGTTTGCTTTCATAAAGTAAAAGCAGGATAAGGACAATAAAAGCAAGGGATAGGAAGAAGAAGAATATTTAGTAGGTGGCATCTAAGAATACTCTCATTATTTACTTCCATTAATAATTTTTTTAGAATGATATGTTTTTTAAATATATCTAAAATTTGATCAATCGGAGAAAGCATTTGGCCTTCCCTCTCTTTCTGGAGAGTTTTAACATATTAAGCTCCTGTGTAAATTTTCAAAAGGCAGATTGAGTTTGAAATAAGACACTACCTAGAGATTCCACCCTCATTTTGTGAGGACTTTAGATCTGAGTTCTGGTTTCCTATAGGCACAAGCCCCTATAATTAATTACCTCTCCCGATAACGAAAGAGAACTTTTGATTAAGGCCAGTTGTCAATTAGATACTCAGCATGTATCTGGCATATAGTAGCAGCATGATTTGGTATTTGAAAATTTTGATATTTAAAATTTAAAATTTTACCATCTTGCACTTAAAGTAGATGGTGGGGGGAGTGATAAATCGAAGGTTGGCATTGTGGAAATCGGCATAGTGAAGATGGGTCTTCTCGAAGTCGCAGGGTGGAGGTAGTGTAGGCAAGGTGGAAGTCTGCACAATGAAAGGAGGATGGATCGAAGGTAAGCGCGGGTCTTGGGACTTGTGTAAAGTAGAGATCGGATAGGGTGAAGTTTGCAAGCAGGTGGAGGTCGGCTGTAGTTTGGATTGGTTGAGGATTTTGATAGCAGTAGAGGGCTCAGTTGGCTCGGAAGATACAAACAAGGGAGAGGGAGATCGGATGACTGGGGAGCTCGTGCGCAAGGGAGAAACGAAAAACTAGAGGCCTATTTAGCTCTTGTTTTATCAACGAAGGCAGAGTCGCGATTTGTGCAGGATTTGAACAAAGAGATGCGAACGGCTCCGAATTGTTACATGGGGTTTACGCTGTATTTTGGAGGATTTTTTTTTAACATCATGTGTAGGTCAACATTATTGAAAAAAAAAGTTTATTTATTTTATTTTTTTAATTAAAAAATGTAATCAATATGCATATAAAATTTTATTATTTTGGAGAGAACATAGTTCAAGTGTTAGTTATATCTTATATTTCAAAAATATTCACCTATGCTCCAATATCACCATGATGGAACCTTGGCTCCTCCTCACCCTTCCTCATTTTCAACATGGAGGTGTTTCATTTTTTTTTATTCTTTATAATCAACTAAACATTTAAGAAAATAAATTATTATATTTATCTTACAACGAAACAAATAATTCAAATTATAATTTTTTCTAGATTCTTGAAATACATACATTTTCAGAACATTCAAAGTACTTGGGCGATTTGGATGCCATTAGAGACCCTTTTCCACCACCACTAAAACTTGTCCTTGCCTTTATTCACACATGGGAAGGTAAAGACTGATAAAATAAGTCCGTCTTGCAATGAAAAACTTTTCCAAAGGAGTCCTAAGTGGTTAAGAAAAACTCCGGCAGTGGTTGACAAACAGGCGGAATTTCAATCATGATCGACGAACAAGAATAAGTACGTCGGTGGTCGACGAACAAGTAGAAGTACGTCGGTGGTCGGAAAGAATTCCGGCGGTATTCGACGATTGGGCGGAAGTCCGACGGTGGTCGACGAGCAAGCCGAAGTCCAACAGTGATCGGGAAGAAATCTAGTGGTGGTTGATAAACGGGCGGAAGTCCGACGATGGTCGGGAAAAATTCCAGCGGTGGTCAACAAACAGGCAGAAGTTTGGTGGTGTTCAAGAAGAAGTCCAGCAGTGGTCAACAAATGGGCGAAAGTCCGGCGGTGGTCAACGAATGAATGGATGTCCACCTGAAGAACTCCGGTGGTGGTCGGCGGCAAGTAAGCTCCCAAATATGGGGAGTATCAAGATCAAGATGGGAGTGGGTTGAATGGACAACTGATATTGATCCCTTTGATCGTAGATTGTTTATTGATCATTTGAATGTCTTAATAATCAAATTT